TATATATATATATATATATATATGATATTTGGAATAGTTCCTACATTGAGAGCTGCGTTGCATACACATGATCTTTTTTGGGAGTTATGCCTTCCCGGTAAGTCACTATATTAAGTCTCGTGGTAAGAGCCACAGAGCGTTCCACTATAAGGTCTTTCTCTCCCAAATGAGGTGATGAAGGCCACATGAGGAATGTGACACACATTTCTGCTCTTTAACTTTTACTACCGGGTGACTAGTTTTGACAAGACTGGTCTTATGATTTATATCTGCTTCAGGATGGCCAAGGTCAAATGATTGCAAGTTCATTGTCCCAAGTGACGTCCAAGGAAAGTCAAACACCTGCAGTACATCAGTCGTGCTCCTTGGGTATTTTCCCACCCGTCCGATAGTTATTTAGCCATACAGGCCTTTTTGGGCTGCCGCGTTTCCTAATTTGGAAGCGGAGGGGAGCCACAACAAGCCACATCCAGTTTCATACATCCTTTAATGAATCAAGATAATCATTCCCCATTGAAATGAATGGTAATGAAATTAATCCGTTCCAATTTCAGAACTAAGTTATACTTACCATGGGACTTGGAGTTGGAGCGGCCATCACAAACAATGCAGTTATCATAATAATGGACCGTGCATCATCGATTTTTTTTTTTTTACGGATACGGAAATTAGGGCCACCCTCTAGTGTGAAGGCAAGCGAGGTCACTTAGCTCCTGTGTCCGTCCTCTCCTCTGATACCAAAGTATGACAGAACATTCACCACATGATATCTGTGCTGATGCCAGTTGTTTCAAAGAGAAAAGACAACTGTATATTCATGTTTGTATATCCGTTCGCAGAGTCGAGGAGGCACTTCCGTGGAGCCGCCAGCCTGGTTGTATTTCAACGGTCTCCTTACATGTACGTTTCTTATTAAATGATATCTTTCATTTCTCTCAAAGTGCTTGCTTGACCTGTCACTTGCCAATAACGGCTCACTTTTTTTTTTTCTCGACAGTGACAAAACTCACCGCAACAGGAAACATGACAAACCTCGGGGAACGTGACTTGGAACAAAAACAGCAATAAACCAAGACAGACTGAAAGAAAGCTGGTGAGTCAATACAAATTGTTGAACACAGGCCACAAAAACACAGATCATGCATGACCCAAAATGGCTGCACAAATCCGCATGTTATTCCTTCATATTCATAAAAAACTATACAGTGAGAGTTTTAAAAAGACCAGAGTGTACCACAACTGTTCCCTTATTGATTTTGTAAATCATGGCAGCCTTCCGGTCCACACACCCAAACACTCCTTAAATAATGACAGAGTAAGGCTGAACAAGACCCACCCAATTACCGCCAAGATACTTTGATATTCCTTGAAAAAGAACACCTTCCCACCCCCCTGCCCAGTAATAGGGTATGAACTACCAGCCTTGAAGTGTTGAACCAAAGTGCTGATGAATGAAACGGGAGATGTACAACAGTCTTATTTAGCTCCTGTAATTCTCCCAAGGAAGCGGACGGATTTGTGGAGCCATTGAACTGACCTCAAACCTCAAAAATTGGCTACATGAATCGGCCTCCCTGCCTGCTTCCCTCATCTGTCACATGACACTTGTGCACTGCTTGTCAGTACGTGTGTGTGTGTGTGTGTGTGTGTGTGTGTGTGTGTGTGTGTGTGCGCGCGTGTGTAGTGTTGTGTTAAGAGGAGGACCCCCCACCAAATACCACCACCTTTGCACATGAAGGGCAGGGGCTGCAGGATACCACCTGAACATACAGAAGTCGACACTCACACATTGTAGACTTGCCGAAAATAAACCTGGATTGTGGGTTGATTTTTTTGGGGTGTCTAGTAAGAAACGCGATAACACCAAAATGATGAACGTGCACTGAAATTTCAGAGGCAAAATGGCTGAAGGCCTTGTAGGAAAGCCAAGACGTTATGAAACATCTTGAGCCCTCTGAGCTTCCTGGTTTACGCACAGCTGACGCGCGTGTTTGAAGAGATTTAAAATCCGCTGAATCCATATGTCAATGAGAACGAGCGACTAAGCCACTGAGACTGCTAGTTTAGCTTGAAACTGCCCTTTCTCCCTTTTTCACTGCAGCAACGGTTTCTCGAAAGGCAGAGCAGGGTCTCGATGTGCCTCCAGGCCAAATTCTGTCTGGACCCAGACTATCGGAAGATTAGTAATCAGCACAAATGCAACTTTTGATCATTGTGCAATTCCTCCGATATGACGCAAAGGCAATCCTTAAGTCGGTCCCGTTAAACACTACTGAAGACATGGTGCCTGTTTACATGTTGCAAAAAGCAGTGATTTATTGACGTGTTGGAAACTTTTGACCTGAGTCATGCGCTTCCAAGCCACAAATGTTTTTGTTGTTGTTTAACTATAGAGCTTATTTTGGTGCCTTTGCGTCCCAACTGTTAATATGACATCATGCATGCTGTGTATTATTATATTCTGACTTAAAGAAAATTTCCGGAACTGGGCTATCGTCTCTTGGTTGTTGCAGCAGGTTGTCAGGCTTAATTATGTTTCCTTGACCGTTGTGGTAGCGTGGCGTCTATTTGCATTTTCTGAAATTTGGATGATAATGTGAGGGAGGAAAAAAAATGTCAAAAAAAAACAATGGTCAGGCCTTTTGGTCACCAAGCTCCAGTTAGTGCTGAGAACACAACTTTGAGATGCGAAGATATTCTGAGCGTCTGGAACCTGCCAGAACCTGCATCTTATTTCTAACCCAAACAGGCTATGTCTGGGTAGTATTGCATAAAATATTGCTACGTACGTTTGACCACTTTGTCAACCTTATACATATGAGGAAGAAGGTCTTGTATGATGCCAGAAGTATTCTGCCATTCAAGCTATGAGGACTCTTAATACAGTTCTATTTTTGTTGAAGACAAAAATCAGCAACCCCAGACCCTATCACAGTGCATTTAACTCAGCTGGAAACACATGAGAGAGGACGGAGAGACTGGGGGAAAGAAGAAAAGGCTTTTCATTTCCTGCAGTGAGGACGCCCTGCTACTGTTGGGCATAATCTGCTGATCCAGCGACCCCACGATTCCATCTGGCCTTGACCTTGTAATATGTTACATCAGCACTGCTGCAGCGAAGTCGTTCTTGCTGCACTTTTTTTGTACTGGCACTGCTCGGCTGCACATTCACATCATCACGGTAGCACTTACTCGGGTCAACAAGGGCGCGTGAGGATTAAGCTGGTTTTAGCAAAGCAGCCGCCCCGTCGCCCCCCAAAAAAACGTGGTTTGAGGTACAAGTGGATCTGTAAAGTCGTGAAGAGTAACAGTTGATCCTGTGTATGTCAATGTCCTCGCCTGCTCGATGTTTTTTTTCTGGTTGGGAGGTGAGAGAAGCACGGACATAGAAAGTTGCCAACAGTGAAATGAGACGAGCCCTCTCTATTTTTTTTTTTTCTTGGTTGCGTGTGTGCATGCGGCTAGCTAAAACCATAACTTGTCGCATACATAGCGCCGCAAGCTCAATACAGACGTGCAAAGCAATCGTCCACCATGTTGCAACGCAGAACAGATTAGATTAAAAGGTGAGGCTCCAAGTCCCTAAAATCAGCTCATCAATAAATTACCGAAACCCAAAAGACAGTTAGCATGCCTTGAACGCAGTTACACTCTATGTTCTGTTTGAAAAGAAGAGGTCGATGACATCAGCAGCCAAGCGAAAGGAAGTCCTCCGCGTTTTGTTGACCACTAACTCGGCAACCCACCCCTCACTCTCCACACAAAGGTGTGAAATATTCGGAATAGCTAGTGCAGGCGCATATTCGCACCTCTACCAAACCCCTCTCCAGGCTGCACGCTGCAGGCGAGGCCAAGATCCAAGCCCGAGACATCCGTGTTTTTTGATGAGGGTGATGTCAGATACAAGCAGAAATATATTTGATTTGAAATGTGTTACCGTGGTGCAATCCTTGACCTGACACGGGGAGCGTGACTTTGAACTCTTGGAATTTAATCTCTTTGCATCGTTGAAGTCAATTTACTTGACTTCTCGGAGCCAGGAAAGTAAAGACCAAGAAAAGGCTGAAAAACAAGCAAAGTTCCAATTTCTGAAGATCCTGCCTGAGCCCAACAGGAGTGACTAATGTGGACATCCAAGGCTGTGACAGGCCAGGTTTCCACTCCCAAATGCCAAAGTCTTCTGCAGCCGTGTGCCATGCGGTGCGGGACGAAGAATTAGGATGGGGGGGGGCAAGGGGAGGGCAGCTCCCTGTGAATGTGCTTAGCTGCCATTTCGAAGCCCATCTGATAGGCGTCATCGCAATGGTGAAAACAGACCCGCGAGATGCTTTGTGGAAGCTTTGGCCTGATAGGATGGACCACGGTCAGCTCTCGTCAATCAACGGTCGCATATTTCGGGTGATGAGGAGCGGATAAGCGCCGGTAAAGGCTAAGTCGAAGTTGAGAATGTGTTCTTTTAGCAAGTCGTGAAATGACAGCCCGGTCACAACAACTGACCCGTGATGTAAACATTAACGATCACTGAAAAAATAAGAGAGGCATTAAAAACAAAATTGCACATGAGGATTTCAGGTTGTAAATCCTGCCGACAAGACAAATCCTTCAAACCGCTGTTGCAGAGATACGCCAAACATTTAAAGTGGAGGTCGGAGAAGGTGCCGCGCAAATCAAACCAAACGGTTGAAGTCACCAGGTTGTGCTGTGACTGGCCTTTGGAAAATCCAAACTGGTACTCAGCTCATTTTACAAAGCAAGGTCAGCTCACATCCCGCCTTGGTAAAAAACATTTTGAGTCTAAGAATCCTGCATTCAATGTCAGTTTCATGGTTAGTCGATGCAAAAAAAAAAAAAAAAGGCATCACGATAACTGTTGTACTTGTGCCCTTCATGAGAACGCTCATTCCTACAACGGTCCTTGACAGGGGTGTCGTGTTCCCTCAGACCCATTTTGCAATCCTCGATCGGGTGCCGCAGACAAAAGGAGCACAGAAACCAGAGCTGGAAGAGAAGAATAGAGTCCTTTCTTCATCCAAGCCGACCGGCTGTTGAGCACCTTGGAGAAGCTCTCAACACCCAGGGCAGATGGGATATCTTGGTAATGGACATGCGCGCGCACACACACACACACACACACACACACACACACACACACACACACACACACACACACACACACACACACACACACACACACACACACACACACACACACATACTCCTCCTATGGGTCCCCTTCAGCCTCCCAGAGGAGGCAATGGAGGCATTTTTGTGTTGATGTGTGAATTTTTCCCTGTCGTCGAGTCACAACAAACACTTGCATGGCGTTGTGACACAAATTTGGAGGGTGAAAAAAAAAAAGCACATTCAAATATGTTCTCAGAGAAAGACATTTTGAAACGTCACCGTCTACCAAATCACACCCTCACGCTTCAGCGTCAACGACGGCCGATGACGTGCACACGGAAGACTTTCGCACAGCGATAATGTCTGCTCTCCTACAGATTTCCTTGAGCTTATGATTACCCAACTAATTACGGACATTCCACGGATTATTTACAGACTGCGACTCTGAACGCGTTTGTCGAAAAAGAACACTGGGCTCCTTATACGGCGCTGCAGCTGCAGCGAGGGCGTATGTACACCAAGAATACACAGGTCGGTCTGACAAGATCGTCTGTATAGAGAAGGCAGGTCTAAATCCAGTCCTCGAGCGCAGGTGAAAGAATGTGAAAGATTTTTTTTTTCCTATTCAACATTAGACCATGGGGGGGGGGGGGGAGCAAATATTTATATATTACATATAATCGATCAGCATATTTGTTTCCTTTAATTGTTGAGCAGGTGGTGGAAAGGCATCTTTAGAGATCAGTGTCTGTGCTGATGATTGATGTGAGACTGTCCAATAATTGCACGAGCGGTGGCTGAAATGCTGCCCAAGCATCGTACAACCGCACCAAACACGAGCAGTGTCATTTTTAGCTCTCAAAATGTGAATGTGTCCTTGCAAATTTTGTGAAATATTGTATTACCAAAGACAGTCATTGCTTTTGGATGTTTATTTTTGTTTTCCATCTTCAATGGCAGAAAATTTCTTTTACTATTTAAAAAAAAAAATAGTTTATATTTTTAACTGTACTCCGGTTCCTGTAATTACACTGTTCAAGTTTTCAAGTGTTCCGCTTACTTAGCCACTGTGTATTTATGCTTGTTATCTACACGACTGTTTCGGAAGCATGACAACCACAAAGAGGCAGAAATGTTTTCCGTCGCTGTCAAATGCATGCCGTTTGCATTGAGTCCAGGAGGCTAACCAAATATTTTAAGGAAAAAAAAAAAAGTGACAGGAATCAGAGTCATTTCATTCATTTAAAGCTGCGTGATGATGGTTGTGCCTGTTAGATGCAATCGTTCTCTAAAAATGAATTTGTCTCAAATATGTCCCCGGTGTCAAGAGAAATCTCGCCCAGCGATCTTGATGTTTCCTCTGATCGTCAGTGTGGAATTGTTTTTTTTTTTTAAATCTGTAGCCGGTATCGCGTCTTTAGTGAAGTGGGCCATGGTGAAGGCAGTGGGTGGTTTCCCCGGACCACATATAAGCTTTCGATGGGTCATAAGAGCTAAAAACGAAACAGCTGTGGGTCGGAACTGTGTGGCCCACGCCTGTTGGCATCCAGCACAGACTGCCGAAAGTCAAACTAGCTATTTTGTTTCTATTTCGTCTAAAAGTGGATTGCTTCTTTCGGAAGGCAACGGTACAAGTACAGTAGTTGGGTGAAGTTTTTTTTTTTTTTTTAATTACCTTAGACCAAGTGTTATGTGCTTGTTGTATGGCCCTTGTTTAAAAAAAAAAGACAGTACAGTATTGCAGAGAGCACGTGTGTTTTTCACACTCAAAATTTCTGTTGAAGAGAGAGAGAGAGAGAGAGAGAGAGAGAGAGAGAGAGAGAGAGAGAGAGAGAGAGAGAGAGAGAGAAAATCTGTTTTCTTCTCTCTGCCAACTGTCTGGGAGTGCCTGGGGGGGAGCTCCTGCCATTGGGTTTCTGGATGGGCTGCATGCAGTTAAAATCCAATATGGTTGGCGCAGGGTAGCCAAACTGTGGGTGTATTGTCCAGGTGTGATCCGTTTGGAGTGAGCTGGCACAAACCGCCCTATTAACGTGTGTGATGCCGCAAGTTGAGGCTGTTTCAGGTGGTGAATGCGTCCAAATAGAAAACACAGACATGACATTTCAAGGTAATGGTTAGCCCAAATTGTTCCTTTTTTTATGTATAAAGCATAAAAAAAAGCTTATATAAGTCAGCTCAAGCTAAACTCTGAGCTAATAATATATTGTGAAAGCAGCAAATTAAAAAAAAAAAATTTTAGAAAAGTAAAACCACAGGTGGCCTTGCGCCGTTACGTGGCTTTACGTTTCATAAACATTTTGATGCATCTGTCGCTGCAGTTGAATGTCGTTATTCAGATTTTTCCATAATGAAAGGCCAGTTCACCTTCTGCATACTTGAGTTTTTGAAATGCTTCCTGAGCCTGGATTGAACCCCTGATCTGCAACAGGAAAGGAAGTGTTTTGTCTGAGGAAAAAAAATAACCCTCTTAAAAAAAAGATTAAGGACTTTTTGTTTCAAGGTACACAAAAAGAGCCAAATGCTCCTCCTCTTGCACGTCGTACGAAAGGCTCAAGACAAGGAGTAGTCGACTAAAAGAGTTCCACTTTGCCAGCTCTGCGATACGCAAAGGTAAATAAATGCAGGCTGACTGGCCTTAGCAGGGTGTCAGAACGACACAACACCAAGTTACACTGTGGGAGTCGGATGCAGATTAAGTGAGAGATCTGCACAATTAGCTCCCGTAGCAAAATACCTAAGCAGATTTGGTCACCGAAGGCCATAAACACAGTCATTCATCGAACAAAGGCTCATTTAAAAGCAGAAATGATCCGTCTGTAAACAAGGACTTTGTGTCTCCTAATGCCGCAGATTGACGTAACTTGGCATTTGGGACCTCCTGCATCATAAGCAAGGATCAAATATTGAGGGGAAAAAAGCGGCGCATGACATTCAACGGCTACTGTCATAAGTCTGTTTTTATGTCTCCAGTAGGTGGCAGAGGAGGGCTTTCCCTTCAGCGTGCGCACCTGCTGCACATTTCAATCAGCCATGTATTGAAGGACTGTGAAGCTGCAAAGCCTTGTGAAGCTGTCGTGCTTCAAGTGTTGTTTTCTGGACCTCTCGATACTATTCCTAGTCACTCTCGTTTTGTTCAGAGAGCCTTGATTGTGAATATTTCTGTTTTTCAATTATTGCTCTTGATCAGATTTTTGGGATACTTGTTTCTAAACAAACATCTGCAAGGTGTATCAAAGAGGACTGGAGACAAAGCAGGAAATTGACCAGCAAGGGATATGTTCATGTTTAGCTTTTAGCAGTGTAGACCAGAGTTAGCATGCGTACAAAAAAATAATAATAATAAATAAAAATTTTGTCTGCGATGCGTGGAAGAAAACGTTGGTCTGTCTTTGTCTGAACCAAAGCGGCTCCAGTGACAAGATTTCCCAGATCAAAATGCAAACTCACAAATGTCAGTGTATGGAGAAATCAGGTCACTAATCATCTTTTGTCGCCTGGCGACATTCCTCAAGTTCCGCCCTGGCAACCGGGACTTAGGGAAGCACTGAGATTTTGTTTGACAGCCATGTCGCCCAGCTTAGTGGCCCTTGGGGAGGGGCCGACCACCTCCCATTGGGGACCCCCTTGGGCTGCGTACGGGTGAGGGGGGGGGGCCAGAGGCAGACGTGATCTCATATCACACGAAACAATGCCGTCCAGCCAGCGTCTATAATGCCCATTCTGAAGACATCAAAACAAGGAAGCACATTTGATTAACGAGCTGCTCTTTTTCATCCACTTGGACTTGCCGTTGACAGCTCAAAGACGGATTGAGTCCATCAATCTAAAGCACCGAAAATCTCGACTTGAACAATGGACTCTTTCAAAAATCGGCAGATTTCAGTTTCAAAACAAGTGTCAAGTGCCTCAATCTCAATAACTATGAAAGAAAAACTTCTAAAAAGTTACTCAAATGTTATCTGTGCCAATTTTTAGAGACTTTGCGATTTATTTATTTTTTTTTGCTCGAATGTGGCCATGCTGGCTTTTACGTCAGAACTCTTCATCCCCACAGACATACACACACTCGCCTTTCTCTCTGCGACTTGCGTGCACTCACGGCTGACAACGTGGCGCTCTAAAGCAGACACGCCAGCCCAATTTTATTTTTATTCAGAAAACAAATCTCTCTGACTTCCTTCACAGGGCGCAGGTGTACCCGCTGTTTTTCCTTCAGTGTATCCGCAGCTGTGCTGAAACTGCTCATTTACCGTCAGCTCAGCAAAAATCCAACATGAGCCTTCACGTTGCCATGATGAAAGAGTTTGGAAAAGATCTCAAAATAGGCAAAGAGGCTGCTGACTCCAACTATCCCCAAAGTCTAGGTGCAGCTCCGATGTGACCGGCAGGGGGTTGTTTTACGTTGTATTCCCACTGACTCTGTCCAGATAAACACTTCCATTCCGCAATCCTAAAGACATAGTAGAAGAAACCGTGATTATAGCCTCCGGAGTGTTGTGTATATATATCTCCGCTGAGAGGGAGGGACTTCCTGATAACCGCAGCTTCTCTTCTTTGACTCCATTCGCCATCTTTCTTTGACTTTGATCTCACAAGCACTCTGACCTGTGAGGAGAATTGTTTGCCGCACGCGCACAGACGTCCACTTTACCCAGAAGCAGCATTACCGAGACATCCAGGCCCTCTTGTGCCCCCTTCGTAGCCTCATTTTTTGACAGACCCACCAATCCTGTTTCGACTGAACGTGACCCTGGTTGCGTTTGCACGAGACAGTAAATGTATACCTTGCACGACTATATGCATCGTGAGGTTCGATGAATATTATAATTAGCTTCGGGGGAAAAAAATGCAATATATCAATTGCATGTCTTTTCTCCCACTGTGACCGCACTTGCAAAGTAATTGTGAGCGCGCACATCCACCATGACATGGCGCGACAGGGGACAAATTATCAGTGCGCTTGCCAAAACCGCAATGGCGGTTTCCAGTTTCCGGAGAGAGGGGGGTTGATTGTGTTTAACATATTTTTATACGGTCCTGTGCAGTTTTATTCTAAGGTACCGTCATAGCAACAGATTGAGCCTGGAAGTGATTCACCTATTTGTATTTGCATCATTTTCTCTTTTGCTCCGCAGAGCGTCGCTTGTGGTGTGCGCGCCCGTCGTCACGTGCCGAGGAAAGACTCTTGATGAGCGCGACTGCCAACACGCTCCCAAGTGGAAGCCGCATGCAGCCGAAGCTTAAATCAACACGGCAAGTAGCCCCCGCACGCTGTCTGCCTTTCATCGGCACTTTGAAAAGAGCAACTGCTTACTTTCATTCTGACGACAACAAACAATGAGCCTCATTCACTAACAGTTCCTACCAACAATTTGTCCTTATGAGCTCCCACGTATGCTTTGTTGTGCCCAAAGTATGATTTGTGACGACCACATTGCCAGGGTTTCAGCAAATATAATTGCCCTTTATCGACCCGTCATCAAAAGTCATTGTCGATGTCTGCACATCCCGCCAAATATTCAAGATAAAACTTTGGAGATTTGAGGTTGGACATTTTTGATTGCGCTCAACCTTAAAAACGCACAGCGAATATAGTTTTGGTGAGTTTTATCGCTGCATTTGTCTTGATTTAGATCTTTTACTTGAATGATGAGGATTAACCGTCCGTCGATATGAACTGCGTGGATTGAGATGGAAATACGTCAAGGAAACGCTCTCTTGACCTCGGTTTAAACTGTAGGACCTCGTCAAGATACTTTTTTTCCGCATCCGCGAGTTGAGCAAGAGCAGAAGCAGATGGCGGTGTCACCCGCTTCCTATTTCTATTTCAAGTCGCACACGCCAACCATCCATTATCGTCAAATGTCTCCATTAAATCATAACCTGCTTACAGTGTGTTCCGGATGGGCCTCAAAATCGCCACATTTATGACAAGGCACTTAACCACGTAGCTCAACTTTTAATACCCAAAAGGCTCGCGGTTATCCACATGTAAATTTACAACCAAGCAGCTTTTGCCCTGACTTCGTTTTGTAACAATTAGATTTGTGATGAGTCATCACAAGCGATAAAAGATAGCGCCAATTAGGCAAATGCATGAAGAAAAATAGCGGCATATAAGCACTGATGTCACCATCAGGCCATACGATGCTATGCAGTGCACTCAAACCGTTGACATGTATTTGCTCTTTGGTGGAGAGGAGAGATGAAATGTGAAATTAACGTGTACGAATGAAACTCAGACTTTGGAATGGCCGCTTATGGGTGCAAAATGCCATTTTTGTCATTTTGTAACTTTTTGGAGGAGAAAAATGGACAGAACGGCGACAAAATGTCGCCTTTAAACTCAAATTGAATATCGTTGTCAGACCTGCATTAATGTACATTATTATTCATCGTTTACATTTCATACAAGCGCCATCCCTCCCCGCAATCTTTCTGCCGACCTCGACACGACACGCGTATTAAAAGCAAGCGAAGGTGTCACACAATTTTCCAGCGCCGCTATTTTTCCGAGCGCTGAGAAATTTGCGTGTCATCATCAGGGAGTGAAGGATCCTCCCTTGAGCTTGTTGTTTTTACGGCTAGTGGCAATGTCCTCACACTTCTTGTTTGTTGTGTCTCCATGATGATGGAGAAATTCGGAGCTATCATTATGGTCGACGGTTAATTGGCTACTTCCAGGCTGCGGTCCAGAGCTGTACGCTCATCGGATGACTCTGACTTCATCGCCGTGGATAACGGCATGCAAGCAAACGTAAACACGGCTTATTTAAGAGTCCGTTTTTAGGGATCGGCAAAAACCTTTCTGGACTTCCTATAACCTTGTCATTGGACGTCGTTTCCATTTTTTTTTCTTTGCAAAAGATGCCACTCGTGTGGCACATGACAGCATACGGCTGCCGAGGTTTGACAACAAGCGCCCGCAGAGTACAGAGGTCACAAGTCACTCATGCAGCTGCGGCCAGACTTTTCCTGGACATCACACACGTGCCATGGAAAAAATAAAATAAATAAAACACTGCCTCCGATGTTACCCATACTGGTGTTGACCACAGAATGTGTCTTTGACTTCCAAAAGTTAGTGAAATAAATGGAAGAGTGATCAAATGAAGACGTTAGGGTGTAAGCCTGTAGATCATGAAGCTTTTGATGGATTTCTCCCATTATGACTACAGAAAAAAATAGTTCAGCAGATTTTTTTTTAATTTTATTAAGGAAACACCTGGGCAAAATTGTCCATTCACATTCACTTCACCGGTCATTTTATGTATACAGTATATATATATATTTTTAATCTAAATGTGCCCCATAAGGGATAAAAGTCATATATTTTCCCATGAAATGCCATGCATGGTGATTATTTAAACGCACACTATATTCAAGTGAGGCTCAAGTTGCCAAAATGAATTCCGGATCTCAAATGAAATTGCTATGCTTGATGTGAAAAGGGGGTCACTTAAGGTTTGGGAACCCACAGAGAAGCCGACACTATTTACAGACGTCTAATTTCCTTCTTGGCTCCAGTTGACCTTATTGTTCAAGACGGTACCTGACACTTAAATATATTTTCGGGAGCTCAAATGTCAAACTAGTTTGACTCATCAACTTTGAATCGGCGTTGTTTATAACTTGCTTAGACATTCAGAAGCGGACTAAAATCGAGATTTCGTTTTTTTGTTTTTTTTTCTAACAGGCAGAATTGATGTTTAACCGAATGTAATACAATGTATAATATGTGTCGGCCATCCAAACTTGGTCTGTAGAATGCTTGTTTGGATTCAGCAGTTCCTGACCCCCAAGTTCTTTTCTGACATTGACCGCTGATGCTAAACTCCCAACTTAGTCATTTTTGTTTTAATGACAAAAAAAAAAATGGAGAGCTTTTAAACATGCATATGGAAAGAGTTTTGGTAATGCGAAGGATTTTCCTCGTAACATAATCCGAAACAGGAGTCGCTATCTTAGCCTCTGCGTAGCACAGTGGCACAAAACAGTCTTTGTTGCCTTTACAGGCCTTACATCATCACCGGGGTTCGGTCCCCTGCCGAGTGGCTACCAGAGGATTTGTTGGGAGATCTCAGCAATACACTTGGCCCTGACCTGAACCTGTGTGTGTATGTGTGTGTGTTTTTTAGCAATTCAACAGGAAGTTAAGGCAAACTGAACATTCAAGATCAAATCTCAGTGGACTGAGGCCGCATTAGGATGAGGATTTGCAGGTAGCCGAGGTCTTTGAACTGGCAGGTCCCTTTTTGCACGCCAGCGCACGCCGCTGCTCCATCACTGCCCGTCTGCCCAATCTCACTTTTTCCACCCAAAGCTCAGTGCCACTAATTAGGACAAAAAGAGGCCCTTGCCAGTTAACGAGGGAAACACATTCGCATTGCCCCGCACATGTTTGTGTGGACACGAACGCACAAGCGTTAACCTTTTGGCTTAACGTGCGCGTCGGTGGACCAATTGGAAAGCTGTTCTTTTCCCTGAACTCTGCTGCATGGAAATAACTACAAGTGTTGAGCACTCATTCCAATCGGCGGATTCTTATTATGATCGAACTTGACAGATGGTTCAAGAGAAAAAAAATGGCTGTGAGACTTTTTCCCCCCCCCAAACCGCTTAATAATAACATTCTATTGATTAAAACCCAAACGCCTCACGTGTGCCGCAGAGACATTAGTGACTCATTAAATCCAAACCAACGCTCGCTTGTCCATCACAGACCTGACAAATTAAAGGTAAAAATAACAAAGTCATCAGAAATATGTTGAGCCAACTAAAAGTCCTTTCCATCCTTCCTAAATTTAAAAAAAAAATGTTTTTTTTAAATGTTTTGACAGGAAATGAAGAAGCCTTTCCTTCAGTTTGTTTGAGTTCACGCACCTGGTGTTGGTTCCACCGGTACTCTCTTGGTTTCATACCGGTAATAATAATTAAGCCTGATGTTTGGTGGCAGGTCGGCGTGGGGCACAAGGAGACAAATAATCATTTACACTCACATTCGCACCGTTTAGTCTTCTTTGAATCCTAAACTGTATGTTTTTTTTTTTGTTTGTTTTTTTTTTTTTTTTTTTGGAATACGGGAGAAAGTATGTACCTTTGTCACTTGGCTTTGAATTCGAATTTTTAATACTGAATTAATTCAAGCATCAAAGGCCAACTTGAAATTTAAAAAAAAAAAAAAGCATGTACGTGTCACTGATGAAGAAGGACCAATGGGAGTTTTATCGTGACACCACCAGATGTTTCTAAGCAACCTCATTTCTATCCAATATGTCTTAGCTTGTCGACTGCTTCTCAGAGAGATATGAGTGACGGCTAAGCATTTTCTGCAGATGCTACTGCATTTAAATATGATGCACTACCGCCCTCTGTTGGAGGGTTGGATGATAAGCGTTGGCTTTTTATTTCAACAAGTCGTCCATTTATTTGCGCTCCACCTTTATAAAGGGCTTGTTGTAATCTCTAAAAAGCATTTATTGAAAAAAGAAAAAAGGAAAAGAACTGATGGAAAAATTAAACTGCTGAATTCACATAGTTGCTTAGAAAAAAAAAAGACAAGCAAAGTACCACAAGCAAACAAAACTACAGGAAATAGGCCCGTGAGACAGAAGGAAAACAATTAGGGTTTCCGTTATAAATTTGAGGCCAAAGTGGGCAGCCTCTGGCAATCCTATGTTGACATGAATATTGATTTGTTTGAGCTGCATCACCTCAAAGAGGTTGGGGTTGTGCAAAGTAGGCGCGTGTCGCATATACAGTACTTGAATTGTATTTCTCTGCTCTTGGAATCACAATATTCGCCCAGTGTCACAAAAGGACCCTTCAAGAGACGTGCCCTTTTCCGTTTATTTCCTAGGTGGGCCCTTAAGAGGCACCATGAAGCCACCTAACGTGTGGCTTCCCTATGTGATCCCATGATTGGCCCGGTATGCTCTCCCTTGTCATTTGATAGCGAGGATGTTACAGGCTTTCAGCACTGGTACAAAAACGGGTTATGTGTTGCCTTGGGGATGTTATATAGTCGCCATTTACCCAAAGAGAGATGATTGTTCCTCTTCCCTTGTCTTCTTCCTCACACACATTTGCCACTTTGCTCACTGCTGAGAGTCATCATCCATAATAGAACCCCCTTAAAAAAATAAATAAATAAATAAAAATCCTACAGTATATCTTCCACAAGAGTGTGTGCAATATGAAAGCAGGGGTGTGTCTTTGATGATACCTTTGCCATCCTATATATTTTT